CAGAATCTAAAAAAAACATTTTTAAAAACAAAATATCCTTAATTTAATTTTTTTTTTTTAAACTATAATATAAGTATATATTTGTATTCATCTAAAATTTGAAAAAATAGAGCTGGGGATTGAGTCTGTCCAAATAAGTTCATTGTGCCCTACTTATGATTGTATCGTTCGACGTGTGACCACGAATCGGAATATAAACATCATAATATAAGTCCCTATTGTTTTTAAACTAGCTACCTACTCACATTGTCGGTTATCCGTCTTGAGTCTTGATTATACATTATGATAATGTATGTAAACATAAATGCCTATATGAATGAACGTAATCAACGCACATCGCTTTTCTTATCTATGTTTAATTGAAACTTTACACGTGTCACGTATAGTATACACACCGGCCTGTGTTTACACACGTCATACCGATTTACTATCAAAGATTACTCGTTGGGTGGAGTAGGCTCTCTCCTAGAGGCCTCTACTCGTTTTAGGGGCCCTGTTATCCCCAAATAACAGATAACGATTTCTCCCACAGAGTATGACCTCTTAACCAAATATTGATTTCAGATGTATACACAAAGAGCTTTCAACGAAAAAATTAAGAAAATTAAACATTTAACGTTTAAAATGTACTGAACCTAAGATAATTTTTTTTTTTTATTAATTAACCAGCGCAACTTAGGCCATTGGGTGGGTTTTTAAGGTGGGGGAGGGTACTGTAGGTTTAAACACGTGTGTTTGTTAGTTTGGCAGAATTTTATAGGTGGCACCCGTAGGTCTCTGCCATGCCCGGGTGGAGGATGGCGGCCCCTCTCTCCAGACACCATGACTGCCCGAAGAGAAGTGCCGTCCGTGGCCGGGTTTCGAACCGGCGACGGTGAGCGTCGAAACCAACGCCGGCCACTCCGTCCCCTAAGTTAATTTTCTTTTTACAGTTGCAGATTATAGTTTAGATTTATATTTTATATATAATAAATAATTTATTGTACTAGTTTTGAAATGAAAAATTTTTATTTTAAATGATATGAACATTTATTATTTATTCATTAAAATGAAATGGGTTGATTAAAATTAAAATTCATGGACATTGTACCACCTATGAAGGTAATACATTTTTAGCGAGCCCGGGAATCTTAACTGCCTTGGCCCTAGGTACCCACAAATGTTCAATCCGGCACTGTTTAGTGTTAACTATTAATTATTAATTATTATAATACAATATTGTATATATGCACAGTACTTTACAGTTTACACCAACAGTTGTTACACACGATTGGTCAACCACAAGTGGTAAAATCATTGAATACGACCATTATAATATATGTAAACGAGTACGTCACGATGACTGGAAAGTTATGTATCTATCCTCAAACAAGGAACAGTATATGGATATCAGAGATTGCAAAGTCATTGGCAAATTCTATAATATATCAGTTGCATCACTTTACTACCTATTTAATTGAATAATCTTTCTTAATTATTTATACCTAATATATTATTATACCGAACATAACCGTGGCTGAGGTCCAGCAGATGTATAAAAATGTATAGATTGAATAAGTCCATAAACTGTATTGGTGATTGTAAGAACAAAAGTATACTCATATATGAATATAAATATTGTCACAATGTCACATAGGGTACAAAATATTAAAATCTAATATTGAATGTCTCCAAGTTCGATACTATGATATAACCTTCAGTCTTCACACGGAAACATAATCCACATACATTTACATATTATTATAATATTGAACATAAGCACTTTTTCAGTTTTCGACTCTGAGAGGCTTTGCATATTTAAATGAAACAGACCAATGGGGGGGGGGGGGGCACACCCACTAGTTAAAAATCTTTAAAATATATTACTTTATGTAATATAATATCACGTAATATATTGTATTACATCTATAGCTATTACTAAAACGAAAAATATTTTTACTAAAACAAATTACAACATTTAGGTAAGTACTCAAATGTTATAGGTATATATTTTATGATTGAAACTGGCGACTCCAAATTAAAAATTTATATAAAAAAAAAAACACTATTATTTAGTATCGATTATATTCTAAACAATTTCAAATGTTGTCAGTAATGTATTGTAATTATTACTAATTTGTAATACTTTTATTAAATACCTATATTTTGTTCTGTGGGTGGATCCGATATCTACTATGGAAAACTCTCGAATAATGAATCGTTGTAAAACTTAAGGAAATAATTTCTTCAAAGAACGTTGCAATATTGCGTGCATTGAATTTTAGCCATATTTGTCGATCACTTTGTAGACCTCAATCGTATAATATTTAACATTTTTAACAAAGTCTTAGAAGAAACTCAGAAAATTATGAGTTTTATTAAAATGTTTATACCATTAAGAAAATGATATCATGTCTAAGGGGATCTTATTTTGTGTATCCTATTTTAGAATAATGATATTTTTTCTATAGGGCACTGCTAATGAATATGGACAGATATTGATCGTGTGCAGCATAATTTCTACTTCGTTTTGCAGCTTTTGTTATTGATCGGAATTCATCTCGTCGAGTCCCCACAACAACAAAAAAATGCCAGACGAAAGCGTAGTGGTTGTCGAGTAAAAATAATTCTAAATCTATAGACCATAATATTATTGTAAAAACAAACAAATCGTGGGATCCGGAAGGATGCGGAGGGGGACACGCTCTGTGACACAGAGTCTGAGTTGATTGATCGTTGTCATCGGATATAGTACGCTTATACACAGCCTTTGCCGATGTTGAACGACTGTATTGTTTAGGAGAGAAAATGAAAAATCTTCAACTTTGAGAGTAATTTCTATAGTAGCAACGGAAAAGTTCGCCCAAAACCAGTTTGTACGACATCGACTTTGTTTTTTAGATACCTATTTATGACTTCGATTACTATCGACTTTTTTTTGATTAATGTACGATAAAAATATTTTTGAGTAAAAAAACTTAAGAATTACATAAAAGTATTTGTTCATACCCCAATTACAATTCAAGTGTTTAAAGTTCATATTTTTACTAAATTCGTTAAAATAATAAACATTTGCAAATTATTTTGTACCTAGTTAAAATTGATAAAATTTTCAATTTTGACAGCTAAGACTAAGAAATATGAAACAAGTTATTTACAAATTATCAACAAGTCACGAATTATTTTTTGAAGTAACTTGAAGCTTTTAATATACCCTGAATCTAATTATTTTCTATAAGCACAACAAACTTATTCACAATTGACGACGGTACGCCGTTATTATTACTTAAAAATTATAATAATTTTAAAAAAACTAGGATTATTTTAAATTTTAATAATATTAATATATTAATATATTCAATTTGTTTTTGGAAAAAATTGTTTTAACCTATTAATAGGTTATGTTTAATACTATGTATTAGAAAAATAAATCGTTAATAGCAATACAAATATACAATAAAATGTCCTGAATAATATTATAGGCTAATTAGGTACAAAGATATCTACATAACTGTCTCCTCTTATAATCGTTTTTCACCATAAAGATACAATGAATTATCATTGAATTCAAATTTAACACATAAATTACAGCGACCTACTCAATGACGAGGTACATTACACACCTATATTACCTAAACAGTAGAGCGACATACCCGATTATTTTATAATTTTATTAAAATTTAATTTATCTTATTCATTTAAGAAATGTAATCAATTATAAATGTTTGGTTCATATAATTTGTTTATATTAGCTTTATATACTATAAGCTAAAATTATTTATTAACTATTGTTTAGCCTTGCACAGTTGCACGTGAACATTGAGCAATACAAGTAGGTATAATATATTTTGTACATTTAGATATAAGATGACAATGACGACCATGACCAACGCAATAGTCACCTTCGGAAGGCTGACAAACTTATATAATTGATATTTAGAGCAAATTGAGTCCTCTATGGTTCTATATTAACTAGTGTCTAGTGCGATGTATAGACAAACCTAATGTAGCTTTTAATTCTTTAAATGCATTTACATGAGTACCCATGTATACGACCGTTATTTATGGTCTACACTCTACGATAGTGTTGTTCCGGTTGAACCAAAATAATTTCATTATTCCATAAGCTCATTTTCTTAGAATATGAGTTAACATAATATACATTCTAGCTGTATTACCTCCGAAAAAAATAAGAAACATAAAATATGGCGCTATATCGGAGTATCAAGGTTTGTGAACTAATTCGGCAGAGATGTGAAATACTCCTGTGTGAGTTGAATAGCGCGGATCAGTGGAGCCCAACCCTTTTACTAGGTGTAGCGGTCGCTACACGTTGAAAATAAGGTGTGGGTGGATATAATAACATAAAATAATCAACTTGAAATATGTTCATAATTAATCACAGATTATATTGGTTATTAATACCTTGATATTTAATAATATTATCAATTAAAATATGATAAAATGTATAAAACAATTTAATTTTGTGGTTGTGAGGGGGTGGGTGGGTAAAATTTTTTCTTGCTACAACTGAAAAATATGTCTTGGGCGTGGATATTTTCTAACGTTGTTCAAATTACTTTCTACACTTAAATTATATCTCTAAAAATGAGATCGGAAACATTCGTAAAAATCGGTTGAGTATTTGTTGAGTCTATACGCTATATACACAGGGACAATGCCTTTTTGAACATTTGAATAACAAATAATAAACTAAAATATGTTATTTTCTAATATTAAAAAACAATCCCATAGCGACCTATAATTTGTATAAGAAAAATGATTCTGAGCGGAGACGGTATGTCAGTCTAGATATAAGATAGATAGATATACCTATACCTATACTTATCTATTGTATTAAAAAAAATTGACCTATAATAAATTCCAAATTAATCATATCACAATATTCATTAGGTACTTATAACGCGTTCTATATCAACAACAAGCCCTGATACTATCATAGAAAAATCGTTTGTAAGTTTCCTCTTTTTTGTCAGGCAGTAAAGCATAAACAGAAGGAATCACGTTTGAATAATGTATTCCATGAATGGTATATATAATTGGGAAAATATTGATGTAGCACTAGAAAATGTTCCATCACAAAACCAGTGTTCACTATTTTCCATTAGTTCAAAATTTCGGTTTGTTGCAAATATTAAAATACGTTTAGAATCATTGGACCCACTATCATACTGAAGAAAAAGTTCCCCATCAGTTGTTAAATGAAATTTTTCCGGAATATCAAAATTAAAGTCGACTGGATTTGACGGAGCTGATAGCTCAGTTTGACGAACACGTTGTATAGTTCGTTTTAATGAGGCGATACTAGGTAGTTGACCAGCTACTGACATTTCTACCTAATATAAAATTATTATAAATTATATTACATTTAATAGTTTATTGTTATCGATATTATCGATAAAAATATAAAATAACAATTATTGTACGTCTACACGAACATAAATACACTAACGTGTATAATTCCCTATATAGCTCGCTGCGGATATAGAATAGTAAGAATATTCTGAATGAAGTTGACAACTTTTAATTAATAATATACTACCTACGTAATAATAAAATAAATGGGTACCTGTGCTATTGTTCCAAGAACTGAGTGTGTCGATTCACATGTACTTCTGGCTTTTTCTTTCATTTCATTGACCTGTATTTTGGCTTCAATTTTAGAAATATCCGGAATGTGATTATGGTCCGTGTATTTTATTATTTCACCATTAGATACATGAACTCTTCCTCTACATTTTTGTTTGTATTGCACACATCGCCAAATGATTTTTTCTGGCTTATTGCATTCACGCTGGTACATGTATCCACCATCCGCCAAAATGTTGGTGCCTCTTTCACTCTTAATATATTTTAAACTCATAATTAAGTCAATTATAATTTTAAAAATGAAATTAATTAAAATAAGTTAATTCAATCAAATAAAATTAATTAATTTAGTATAACTAAAATATAAAAGAAAATGTTGTCGAAAACGTGGTACACTATCAATTGTCACACAATCTATTGTCCACTATCTATTGTCGCACTATCAATTGACCACTATCTATTGACGGTATACCCATAGATATATAATAGTATACTTTAGAAGTTTCAAGTACCCACGCATAATATTATACAATCACAACAAAATAACTAAAATAGTTATCCTAGGTATTTTATTATGTAATCTCGTCCAAATTTGAACTTAAAATGACTTTAAAAATAAACTGTGCTTGTGATTATCCTCACTCAAAAGGCCAATGTCAAATCTAATTTGGTCATACATGCAGCATAAGAAACATTGGACCTTTTAACACAAGTAACATAAGCAAATTTTAATGACATGGGTCCAAAAATCTCAATTTTTCAAGATATGACATTGGCCCTTCTTTCACCAAGCCACAGATTTATAATAATATAATAAACTAAATATAAAAAAAAAATTTGGTGTGCACACCGTTGACTATATAGGTATCAGCATAATATGATTTTCTATGTTATCTTTACAAACTTGTATTTCGAGAAATATAAAATATCTACTCCGCATTTGGCAAAACTAACCATGGTTAGGTACTACAGTGACATGACTAGGACAAATTATTGCACAGTGGGTGCACACTTCCGCCTACCCACGAAAAAAGTCCATTTGTCAAAACAAAGCTTATCTTTTTGAAAAAGATGCGATCCTCCCGGGAACAAAAAACAAATTGTCTAAATCCGGTGACGTCGACGACACCGGGTGTGGTGTGCAGATGACTGATGATTATTAGTGGAATAAATTTGTACATGGTGCCATTATTTAGGTAATAACGAATTCGTACAGTATATATGGACTCGATATTTACTACAATTTTTCGAGTTCCAGTTCAATCAAACAGCTGCAGAGTGTTTATAATAATAATCATTATTTTATTTTCACTTTTATAGATTTATTCGAAGAGATGCTTCACGTTTGTACAGTTAAAATATTTATCCCTTTTCATTATAAGTACCTACTAACATTTTTGTAACTGCAAACATAATATATTATAACAACTGTACCTACCTACTGATAAAACAAACGTGAAAATATGTTATATATTAATTGACCAACTTTACTGTCGAGTAGGTAGTGACTAAAAATATTATACCTGTTTATAAAACGATTCTGATAAATTAAATTTGCGCCTTACAGAGCGATTATATTAAAATACATATTCTTAAAAATATATAAAAATATATTCTTTCAGACACTATTGCATTATACAACTAGGTACTTATTGTAATCAAAGATTTTGGTACTCAAATGTTCACATTTTATTGTACCAGAAAGAAACTACCTTCAAGTTCACCATTTGACATTTACGTTCCTCAAGAATCAAATGTCGTCACCCTATCGTTCGGCGATATTTCAAAGGTATCTCACGAAGTCACGAACTTCCAGCGGTCGTATTGGTCAATAGTTAAATCAGTACACAACGATATGACCCAATCCGAGTGCAATCTAATTGCGTCTCAAAAATTATTTTTGGTACATACGCGAATGCCGAAAAATTTGAGTAAAAATCATTCCAGCATGACCCTCGGTGTCGTGTTGACGAATTGGCAACAATAAACTTACGATCGTTGTCGGTTTCAATAGGTATTTATTTAGTATACCTAGCTATATCTATACATTATGTACTGCATTAATAAATGCATTATGCACTATGGAGTGTATGGAAAAATAGCTGATGTTACATACTTTGGTGTTTGTGTGAATCGTATTTTTTTCTCACTACGTATGTTAGTGGTTTTTTGTAATATTTCAAATTGCTTTTATCAGTTAAACTTAAAATGAATACAAAAAAAGTTCTATAGGTAGTACAATTTAAAATTTAATTTTATAGAGAAAGCAGTTAAAAAGTAGTTGTTAATTAATATAGGTAATAGTATATCAGCAGAAGGTTTTTTCCCCGATAACAATAACTACATTAGGTACATTCAACCCAAGAAATTTAAATACTTAGCATAATTATTATTGAAAATATTTTTATTGTAATAAAATTATAGAACAACTTCATAGTCACTAATTAAGTTAAAAGTTATAGAAATAAGAAATGTCTAATCCACTTTTTATTTTTCAAACTTATTAATACTGTGCATGAGATTAATAAGAATTATATTTCTTATTCTCCTTATATACTTATTTTTCTTCATATTATAATTATCAAGCTCATTATTAAAGAGCTTTAAGCAGCTTTAAATAATTATATTGACATCACAAACTAAATAAATAAAATTATTAGATTTTTATACTTCGAGTAAGAATACCTTTTACATCTGATCCGTCCGTCCATAAAAGCCCATAAAAGCTAATAAAATATGCTTGATTCAATATAACATAATATAATATGGTATTGAAATTACAATATGTAGGTACATTGTACAGATCCTAAATAACGCAAATTCTAAATTTTTTAGTAACATAAACATACTATACATACGAATATCGTAATACCTACATTTTTATTATTTTACAGTTTCATGACATTTACCACAATGTGAATTAATATAATATCACAATTCATAATAGTTATTAATCTTGAAGTTTAAATAGAACAGTTAATAATTTGATACAAATTGTATTTCATTCTAGCGACAAACTTGATAAGCGATAATATTGAAAATTTAAAATTGCATTTGATATTTGTAGGCTTATAAGACGATGAACAAAGAGCTCGGTATGCTAGTTAAATATATTTTTCATATGTTTAGGTTTCCTAATAAATAAGCTTAGATAACTTATATAGTTATATCCCCGTTGTACCATACTTAGATTTATTGATGGACTCCGTAGTTACTAGTTAGTAGTTACTGATAAATATAGGTAGTATTATAGTTACATTTGTTGATTTGTTTAACAAGATGATAAAATAAATAGGTATTATTCATAATATTATTATCTTTTGTTTATATGATAAACATAAATACAAAATGATGGAGAACCCCCTCCTCCCCTCAAAAAAAATATGTCTGTGTTTATAGTTTGTTGTTAAAAATACGTTTGGAAACCAGGAATTTAGCACTCCCAAAGGATGGGCTTTCCTAATTTGTTTTTGTTTAAATTTTATTTGTTTGACGATATTTAGATAGTGTCCAAAAGTAGTGACAGTGTCGTCCGTTCAAATTACGTCCACAGTGAAAGGTTGAACCTCTGACCAATATTGCTCCATTTTTACTAGCAAACTGCAACGCCACTCCCCGCGTATATCTACTCTTGTAGGAGAGAATAATACTATAATAAGTCGTATAGAATAGAACCAGATGTCTAACAATACCCTTAAAAAATATGAAACAAATTGGATCCCTGTGAGTCGTCTCTTCAAAAAAAGGGAAATATAACAAAAAAAAAAAAGCAATGATAACTCACTTTATAACGTAATTTAATAAGCCCATTGAACATATTACACAATTATATTCTTTTTGAAAGAACAATGTTACGCGTCTTATTATCGATATTTTGACATGATTCAGGGTAATATTTGAACCCTCTTTCCCAAAAATATACTTCATTGTTCTCTCGGAATCTCCTACATTTCTTTTCGTAATTCCATGCCTAAAACGCTGAAAGTTCTATGTACAAATACCTATTTATACAGAGAATTGTTTGTAATTCTCAATTTTTAAAACGTATTTACAACTTAAAATATATTTTTTTTCACGTCTGCAGCACCGAAAGTTTAGTTTTCGATGACGGTTGAAGTGTTGGAAATCGAACTTCTTCCGTCCAGTGGGCGGTCAAATGAGAATCCCCATAGTGCCGGGTGGTAAAGTAAAAATCCCCAAAAATGGTGCCCGCACATATATCAAGCGTATAGGCATCCCCAGCACAACCAGACACTGAAATCTATACCACGGTCCTTAGAAAACATTACATTTTGGCAACATCTTATATATTCATATTATAACCTCCTTGCATGAAGTGTAAACGTTTTTCTTTCATGAAATTGTTTTCGTAGAACAATCTGGTTATTGCATAAAGATCCCTGCATATTGCACCTTTAACAATTTAAGGTGATTATATTTCTTATTTTATTTAAAAAAAATAATAATTACATGACTAAATAAACCGGCATGATTACCAAAAAAAACAATTTTTCCTATCACTGCGCATTTTCTCCAGACCTGGCAGAAACAGTAAAATTCCTATATAAAGTTTTTTTCCCATGACATTAGTTTTTCTTCCAAGTCTGGGGAAGTAAAAAATATGCTTGCAGTAATTTAGCGATCATGCCTGTTCATTTAGTCATGAATAATTGTTTATACTAAAATATATACCACGTGCCGCACAAGTCGCCCGTGACTGAAATAGCTCACATCCCACCCTTACCACTATATATACTATTGTAAAATCACAACTACTTTGAAAATAAAGTACATAATAATAAATAAAAAAATTTAGTTTTCTTGCAAGTGAGCCAAACATTTTTTATTTGTTGTAATACTTTTCTATTGATATTTAAAGGACTTAATATGATAACACAAGATCTTATTTCCTATCAAGCAATATTTAATAAAGGGTTTTAAGTCAATGTGAGTATAAATTACAATATACGATATCTCTAACATATATATTATTATTAGTTAACCTCGTCAGCGAAAGGCGAAAATGGTCGGTCAATGCTTTTATATAGACGCATTTTGTTTCTGCTGCAAAAACAAAATCAAAACCAAGCGTAACAAAAACTTTTAATCGAGTTAAATTACGAGTCGTGAGGAACCTTTTAGTGGGAATCGAGAAGATTAAAGAGAGATTGAAGTTTGAAGAATAATGGAGAGCAATTGGCGGGTATCGGGATGTGATAGGATAACATGACGATATGTTTGCTTGGAATAGTGTAATGTACAAAGACGAAAATC